AAGTGTAAATGTTTACAAATGTTACAGATGTTTGCAGAAAGCTCCCCAAACTTGAGACATGAACTGGGTTCCTCTGTCACTGACGATATCATCTGGTATACCATAAATTCGAAAGACATGATGAAACAGGGCTTGTGCAGTCTCCATGGCTGTGGCAAGTCCCTTTAGAGGAACCAGACGATAGGATTTGGAGAAACGTCAATGCTGACTTTGACAGCAGTGAAACCGTTGGAATGAGGCAGGTCTGTGACAAAATCAGTAAATAGATGGGACCAAGGACGTCCCATTGTGGGATGGGCAGTGGTTGGAGGAGACCTGAAGGTAACTGTTTGGGGTTCTTAGACTGAGCACAGACTTGACAGGCTTTGACATAAGTAGTGACATCCTTGGTCATCGAGGGCCACCAGGAGGAGTTTCGCAGTAAGTGAAGAGTGCAAAATATTCCAGGATGGCCAGAGCTGACAGAGGTGTGGACCCATTGCATTACTCTGTGATGTAGATTCTGTGGACCATACTGTTTGGCTGGAGGTCAGTTGACAGGTGCTGGCTCTTGTAGTTGTTCGTTTTGTTTTTTTTTGATACTTTGTATCTCCTCCATTATGTCCCAGGTGACAGAAGCAATGACAGTAGAAGGTGGGAGTATGCATTCTAGTGTGCGGTTTCAATGGGGGGATCATACAGCCTGGATAGAGCATCTGCCTTACTATTCTTACTGCCTGGACGATATGTTACTGTAAACTGGAAACGTGTGAAAAACAAGGACCAGCGAGCCTGGCGTGGGTTTAGTCGTTTTGCACTCTTGATGTATTCTAGATTTTTATAGTCAGTTATTACTTGAAGGGGTGGACTGTTCCTTCTTACCAGTGTTTCCATTCCTCAATGGCTGCTTCCATGGACAAGAGTTATTTGTTCCCAACATAATTCCTTTCAGCTGCAGTTAACTTTCTTGAGAAGAATGCAGATGGATACAGTTTACCAGGTTGGCCATGGCGTTGGGAGAACACAGCTCCGATTCCACCTCCACCACAAATGGAAGATTGGGGTCAGGATGTTTCAGAATAGGGGTTGTAAACCTTTCCCTCAAAGTATCATAGGCCTGGCTGGCCTCCTGAGTCCATTTCAATTTTGAAGGCTTTCTTTCAGGAGGCATGTCAGAGGGGAAGCAATCATACTGTAATTCCTGACGAAGCGTCTATAAAAGTTGGCAAACCCCAGAAATCTTTGAAGCTCTTTCACGGTGGATGGCTGTGGCCAATTCTGTTACTGCCTTGACTTTGGATTCATCCATTTTTACTCCTTGGTGACTGATATGGTAGCCCAGGAATGAAGTCTGTCTGACATGAAACTCACACTTTTCTGCCTTGATTTACAGTTGGTTCGCTAGCAGACTAGAGAGTACGGTCTTCTTCAGACTTTGAGTAAATCAAAATATCGTCAATGTAGGCTATTACGCACTTCAGAAGATCTCAGAAGATTTAATTAATGAACGACTGGAAGACAGCTGGAGCGTTGGCAAGCCCATACGGCATGACCTGATATTCATAGTGCCCCCTAGTGGTAAGAAAGGCAGTTTTCCATTCATCGCCTTCTTTGATTCTAATCAGGTTATATACACTCCGTAGGTCAAATTTGGTGTAAATGGTAGCCTCACAGAGTTGTCAACATAGGTGTGCAGCGTGTACTATACAGTCCATCCTAATTCTATCTCCCTCTAGATATAACCACTTGAGAAATGTAGGGACAAGTACCCAATTTTCCCCATCTCATTCATTTTCCTCTTATAGTGTTTTGCTTATGTATTGATACAAACTCTTTTAAATGAACATTTTAGAATTGCATACTATTGTTAACAAAGATCACAGGTATGCCATGTTTGGTGTCTTTCGGCTGCATTTTTAATGATCTAAATGTTCATTTATATTATATGTTGATAACTATGGAAGGTATTAGTGTTACCAGAATCTTCAAACTGGGGAATTGCGCTCTGCAAATAGCTTTTTTGGGGTGTATTTCGAGGGGTGAGAACCAGAAAGGCGTAAGTGACATTTCACCAACTTTACAGGAGAGCCAAAACAAAAAATTTACCATAGTTTGATCTGACTTTGTGTACTGATTTAAATTGTTTATAATAAAAATTTCACCAAAAATGTCACTTACGCCCTTCTGGTTCTCACCCCTCGATATGCAAAACATATGCCAGGACAAAGGGTCGTAAACTTTCCCTCAGAAGGTACACTTTCTCATTGGCTCACTCGCCTCCTGAAGGGTGGGACATCCTTACAGTTTAAAAGATCACATGATTAGAGTTATTCAGAAGAAGTTTTAAGATGCAGAAACTCCAGGGCAAGATGCAGAGCAAAGAGTCCTCAAGAACTCCACCTAAGCTTGTGCCAGGCTTCGGCCTAGTCTTTCCACTTCAAGACTCAAACTGGTTCTTTTTCATCAACCAACTTCAGCAAAGATCAACTTGAGCCTTCAGATTGCATCAGGACTCTCTTTCAGACAGGCAAGATGTGCAAGTATCAAACGTAGTCTTATTAATTGATACGTTAAGTATCATTTGCAACTTTTACAAAGGTGTGTTTGAACTAAGAAACTGATGTTTCCTTCAGGCTGTAGATCTGCTGAATATCAAATTTTACTATAACTTCATGCTTTATTTCTTTTCTCTTTACTGCTTAAGCTTTAAGCAATTCTCCTATGCCAACTGTATGCGTGTGTGCGTGTATGTTAGACTAGTTTAAGTGTTTATGTAGTTAATAAAGTCTTACTTGTATCACACTTGAGGTTGTTTGCTCATAATTGGAGTCCCTAATCATGCAGACTATTGTGTTTGAGTAGAACATGAACACAGTAAGTACATTACAACAATCAGTATTATTTGTATATAAGTACATAGTTAAACACACCTATAAAGTGGGATCAGTCTTTCTTATATTGTTCAATGTTCTGTTGAACAGCTAGATCGCTCATAACTACCAAACACCTTTTTGCATTAGTACTTTTGTAAATAAATAAATAAAAAGTGCATTAGGTAATATATGAACTAAAGTTTAATGTCATGTGTAAGCATTTTAATTTACATTACATCTTGATTGATTAACAGATCATTATTTAATATGTAATATTAAAAACATTCAGTGTTTTAATGCAAGTGAATCCAATGGATCAGGTTCTGTCACACTCACACTCGCACACGCGCGCACACACACACACACACACACATGCGCACACATACACACGCACACATACACACACACGCACACACACTGAACAATCATTCCACATCTTGATTTAAATGCCGCTGTCACTCCCAAATGTGTATGTAATCACTGTCTCATTCTTGACTGTTGGAAAGATCAAATGTGACCCTGGAGCACAAAACCAGTCATAAAGGTCAATTTCTCGAAATTGAGATTTATACATCATCTAAAAGCTGAATAAATAAGCTTTCCATTGATTTGTTAGGTTTGTTAGGATAGGACAATATTTGGCCGTACTAATCAAAAATGAAGTTTTGATATATTTACGGTAGGAAATTTACAAAATACCTTCATGGAACATGATCTTTACTTAATATCCTAATGATTTTTGGCATAGGCCTAAAAGAAAAATCGATCATTTTGACCCATACAGTGTTTTTTTGGCTATCGCTAAAAATATACCCAAGCGACTGAGAAAAACTAAGATCTCAAAGGTTTGACAGAATATGAAAAACATTGTTTGACTGTTAGAAGTAGAAGTAGAATTCCATAATAAAATAGGTGCCATTTTTCCCCAGTGTAGGGCTCCATGATGTTTGCAGTGTTTGCTTGTTTACTACAAATATATGTAAAGGGCAAATATCTATTATATTTGTGACCCTGGACCATAAAACCAGTCTTAGACCATAGTGGCATTCTTCTCCAACAAACTTTGGCAGTTTTCTTCTGATAATCTTGTTCAAGATGTCTCAAGATTCCTTCAGGTTATCAGACGTGGAGGACAAGATCTGCGGAAGAATAGAAGATTTATTAGCAAAAAGGTTTTTGTTGTTGTTGTTTTCTGCCAATGTGTCATTTGCAAATAATATATTATTTAATAAACACTATGTTCTGAGACACATGATTACAAATGGTTATATACTGTAGATATATTGTAATATGCTATATATTTTACCTTTCAGTTTATTTGATGTATTTATTTTTTGTATCTGTTTTCAGCTGACCTGTGAGTTTGCTGTAGTCCTCTGCTGTCTTTATGGCTTCAGAAATCTTCAGCATATCTTCAGGTTTTCCTTCATGAAGATCACGATCAGCTCGTACGAGCGCTTTTGAAAACCTAACATGAAATGTTAGAAATGCAAGTTAGTGTTTTAAACTTGTACGTATAGACTTTCTTTTATTGTACAATCAGAGGCACAGATATCCCCTCCACTACAAACAGAGAAACTCACATGTCTTCGATGATGTTGCAGATCTTGTGCTGATAGGCCTGGCGATGGAGAGTGTATCAAGATCAAAGTTGATTCTTTCTCTGTATTAGCAGAGCAGAAAACATAACTCTTAACACCGCTGTAATATTCTTCTAAAATACAGGCTAACGAAAATCTTATCACGTATACACCAGGGGTGGCCAACGTCGGTCCTGGAGAGCCACAGTCCTGCAGAGTTTTGTTCCAACCTTGATACAAACTGCTGCTTTTAGTAACCCTTAGACCTTGATTAGCTTGTTCAGGTGTGTTTGATTAGGGTTGGGGCTGAAGTCTGCAGGACTGTGGCTCTCCAGGACCGAAGTTGGCCACTCCTGACGTACACTGTTGAATGCCTGCCTGTTGTGATAAGATCTTGAATGGACAGGCACCTCCAGCACTTACTTTTATTAAACAAAAAGATCTTAGGGGAGCGCGGGGCACAAAGGAACGCGGGGTTAGTTGTAACACACATGGTTTAAATATTTCCACACATGCTAGCATAACAAAATTTACAGCATTTAGTAGTTACCATATCAACATTATATAGAGAAAAAAAGTGTGCCAAAATTCAAAAGTCTTTTGAAGATATCGCTGAACATTTATTTTACCATAGTAAAATTATATTTCTGGCTTAAGAAAATTTTTCATCTCAGTTTTTTATTACTCATTTAAAATTAGACAAATCTGCTATTATTTTAATCTCCAATCTGTTATTTATACGTTTAGATTATTTTTTAATGCTACACTAACTATCAGAAGACACTAACCAGTTTTAAACTCCAGTTGCGCAGATGGGGTGTGTTGTAACACTGCGTTACAATGTGCCCTGCCGTGTTATTTTATGACATTAGCGATGTAATTCACACTATTTACTTTAATAAATTTCAATGATAAACGACGAGAAACAGGTGAATAAATACTGACAGTCAATGTTTAATGTTAAGAAATTATTATTTCAAGACATGTAAAGCATTTTGGCTCGTTTATGTGGGCCATACCAAGCCTGGTTGCAATGTGTTCATTGTCAAACTCCAAACTCAGATTATTTTTCATTCTTAAAAAACGCCATTATTTTATTTGAAATAAAAAAATATTTTATTTTATTGACAAAATATTTAGGTTTGTCTTGTATTTTTTTTTTTCATGCGATCAGATAACATTTTAAGCTGTCATATGGTCATGTTACAACGTGCCCCTCAGATATTACAATGTACCCCACCTACGGGGCATGTTGTCACATTTCACTTCCATTTTTTGAGGGTGAATAAAGAAAAACGTATACACTGTATTAATGAAACAAAGCGACATATTTGTACTAGACAAGTGTGAAATTACTGTGGATAAAAAAAATTATACTCTGAACCCCATGTGGATTTACACAATTTGATAAAGTCAAAAAGTGTTACTTTGTGCCCCACTCTCCCCGACTTACAGACCTACTAGATCTGATCTAAGCGGGGATTGTGTAGTTCCACTCAGTCAGACATCGTTCCTTCAGTTGTTGTTGTTTTTCTTTTCTTTTTTTTCCCTATAATGGTCACAGTTGTGGAATATCATACAAATTGAAATAAGAAACAGTACTTCCTACAGTATTTATACCTGGAATCAGCTAGTAAAGGATCAGAAATAGAATTTTCAATATTATTGTTAATTCATTTTTATATTATTATGTTTCTTTGCTGCTAACATTTTCCATGTCCATTGCCCACTGCCAAGAGGTTTTTATTTTTGCAAGGTATGTTAAAAGTCATATGACCATTAGCCAACATCAGAGAACCACGAATGTGTTGTCAAATTATTAAAATATTAACTTAAATAGCCTACTAAAATGTCAGCTCTGAATATAATAATATCTCACCCAAGTGAGTGTTCAAAGCGATTGTGGGAAGCACCAGGATACACCAGATATGTTCCTCCTAGCTGTTTGATTTGTCTCAGTCTCTGAAACTGAGGAGTATCTGTGATCTTCACCAGCAGGGGGTGCAGCTCAATGTGACCATGGATGGGGTCGTTGAAGACCTCCAAAATACAAAACAATATGCAATGAAATTCCGTAAAATTTACAGTAAAAAAACGGCAACTGTGGTTGCCGGAATTTTACCGTAAAAAATATGGTAGGAACATTTTAGGTTTTACGGTTTTAACTTAAATTTACAGTAAAATACCGTAATTTCATTAACTGATATAATGTTAATATACCAACCTATTGAAGTACTGAAATCTGTTTTGTACCTTTGTAATACACTGATAACCACCAAATGCAGGAGGTGATGAGAAAGTCACATGATGAACCAAAGCCCATCACAAGCAGCTTTTAAATAATAACATATATAGAAGGTGCACAGTGTCATTCACACAAACACTAAACACCATCATGGTAACACACATGATACTGAAATAATGCAATAAACATTCATTTAACAACATTAGGTGTAACATACAACCCTAATATACAAAACTGATAAGAAAAAAACTAAGAAGAAACATAGTTCAAATTTGAAATGTAACGCAGGGAATACTGGGAATGTCAATTTACGGTTATTCACTGTAAATTATACGGTCTTTTTTACTTCTAAAAACGGTATACTACCGTAAAATTAATGTCCAATACATGTAATGTCCAATACAGTTTTTCACCGTATATAGTAGGGGAATTTACCGTTAACCATTTAACAGGTTTTTACTGTAGCATTTTTACAGTCTTTTACCATTAAATTCACGGTCATTTTTTACAGTGTGTAATTCACGACTCATCATGTTCAAATCCATGTCGTTGATCAAAGTAATTTTGTGACCCATAAATGAATAAATCAATTCATTTCAACTTTAGACAACAGTTTCCAGATAAATCATTGTTTGCTGCATGGTTTCATTACTAAGTGGCGACCATGACCAACATGACATGACTGTCTTTATGAGTGAATCACTGAATCAATCACTCAACTGGTCCGTTTGAAGCAGTGATTTATTGGTTCATTCAGGTATTAGATTGTTCATTGAGTTTTGTTTGGAAGAGATTTTGTCGGTGGAGCAAAAATAAACAAGTAAAGCACACATTTCAGCATTTTCTCCATTAATTATGTTTTTATGTTTTTTTTTTTTTTTTCACAAACAAAAGTGAATAGTACATTCATCACGTGTTCATGAGAAACAAGACTTTACATTTCAGTTAGATGGTAAAGAATTACAATCTACATTTACTACATAGCTTATCATCAGTGCTGCTAAACTTGTGTGTTTCTTCATGGAAGTGAAGAGGCAGAATTGTTACATGAGTAGTTTGTTTACCTTCATTTGCTCTTTTGAGAAGTCTAAGGAGTATTTCTTCAGGATGTCCTGCAATTCATCCTTGATAAACTCCCATAACTGTTGTTTATCAGCCTCTGGAAAGGCACAAGATTTAATATCATCAGTGTCAAATATATGTCTTAAATGATTTATGTTTCCTCAGTTTGCAAACACAAGCGAACATTTTAGTAATGCATTTAGAGTGAATATGTATGGGGCAAGATATTCCAGAAAAGTGGCTTATATTTGTGTTCATTTCACCACTAATATAAATACTTCTGTAGAAAATGTGAGCTGTAAATGTTCTTTCAGTTGTGGGACTAGTTTTAGGAAAGTAGTTCAAGCAGATGAAGTTCTGGTTATGCCCTTCTGAGTTTCTTTGGGTGGATTATTTCTCTTTGTAAACTGTTGGCCTGTCCAAATTACCCACACTTGTGGTCTTGGCCCCTTGAGAGCACGTACACGAAACATGAAGTGTGCAAGACTGTCCCAGGTCTTAAAAATGTCAAAGTGCAGAGCCCTTAACACACACTAAATTCAATCTTGAAATCAGAGCGGTTTAGAGTGGTGCAGGTATGACGTCAGAACCCAGAAGACTAGTGCACTGCTTATTCAGTCAAGATTTTCCTATGGGGTTTTATAATGGGGTTTTTCAATTAATTTTGTGAGTAAGATAAAACCTGTGCAATACTTTGAAATGTTGTTCTACAACGTAAATTACACACACCCATACTGAAAACGCGAATTTTAAACCATTTATGTTTATTTCTGAAAACGATTGTTTCTAATAAGTAACTTGAAAAGACACTTTGGGATGTGAGTGATTAAAGTAATGATAGGGAAACAGGTTTTGTTACATGTGTGAAAAACAGGTAGTGCTGCATGTACTTTTTTGCCTATTAATAGCTCTTTTATATTCAGTATTTTCTAGGCTGATTAATCAAGAACTATAATAATAACAATGATAATAATCATCATCATAATCATCATATTGAAGTGCTTATTTATTTTTACATTTTATTTATAATTTACATTTGCATTACAAAGTAGGAACACAGGTGGGCTTAAATATATGATATATAAGAAAATATAAAACTTTTTATTTTTATTTTTATAATAGATTAGATTTTTATAATAGGGTCACTTCATGTGTATTAAAACATTAAAATCTAGCTGCCTTCCTCTTTGGTTTATATGTCTATAAACATGCAATGACATGAAATCTATAATCCTGTAATCCTGATTGTAAAAATATATTCATGTTAAATGTGTAGTCATGAGGATCATGTTTTATAAAGACAATTCTGATCATTTTATCAGAGATAAATCAAGCATCGCATTAGTTCAGGCAGGCCACGTCAGTCAAGCTCCTGACGTGTGCCAATCCAGTTTTGACACTTGTCACAGCAGTCCATTTAAATTCCCATTCTCCAGCATATCTTCTATCGCATCGCTGCTCGCAAATCAAACTCCTCCTCCAACCCCAGCTCCACCTAACTGAACCTGTAATCTAATCTGATTTTTGTTTTCATATACAGTTCACTATTGCAAGCATTCTCTATCATGTATTCTGTATTTTCTACAACTCATGTAAAATGTGAATTGTATTATATTACTATATAATTGTAATAAATATACTTTGACGAAGTGGACCTGATTGAAATGTGGATTTAGTGCTTTTGTATGAACGTTTGTATGAAGATTAATCTCACATAATGGAGTAGTGAAGTCATGACAAATCACACATCAATCTTCATCACTCAACATTGATCCTGTTATTAGCTATTCATTATTTTATTTGTTCATGTGTCTTTTTCTCTGGAGTTTTTGTAATAATCTAATGTGAGGCGATGATCTACAGTTGGATGTGAATTACTGATCAAAGACCAAATGGAAATCACACTTTTCAGAACGAGAATGATCATCACCTCAGTAAAACATTCATCTGAGGCTAATTAAACAAATAAGGTTTGATGTGTTCTGTGTAAGTGTTCATAAATTCATAAGTAAAAAAACAAAAACAAAGCATTTGTTTTAAAACAAGCAAATCCAGTGTATCTGGTTTTCTGTTCTAATCTAGAAATCAGAGCGTTTTAGAATGGTGCAGGTATGACGTCAGAACCCTGAAAAATTTTCCTATGGGGTTTTATAATGGGGTTTTTCAATTAATTGTGTGAGTAAAATAAATAAAACCTGTTGTGAACATAACTTGACAATACTTTGACATTTTGTTCTACAACGTAAATTACACACACCCATACTGAAAACATTAATTATGAAGCAGTTATGTTTATTTTTGAACATGTATGTTTTTAATAAGTAACTTGAAAAGACAATTTGGGATGTGAGTGTCTGCAGTTTACATTGTAGATCAAAAATGGTCAAAGTATTAAGTTATGTTTACAAAAGGTAGGCTAAGCGTATGCCAATACACATCATGTTCAGGAATGTGCCTCAAAAATGACGATAACATTCCACTGTAAGTTAAATTTGTGCAAAGATGAGTATGTGTATTTTGTACAATATTTGCAGCTGCTTTTTATGACTTAATTACAAGTATCACAATGACTAAATTTACATTTATAAGTTTACTTACAGACATTTATGAGTTTGTTTTAAAATGCAACATATTGCAAATCAAAATAAAGCTCTGTAAACACTTGCATTTTTACATCACTCGAAGTGTGTCCGATCAGGTAATGAAAAGTTCTACACACACTTCTGGTCTCCACGCCTACTTGAACACTTGGACCGTATACAGGAAATACGTCATGTAAGTAGACAAGTGGACAAGGGCAAAGACTGCAAGTATGGGTATTTGGATGGGCCCTGTAAGCTATCTTTCTATCCTTACTAAATCGGATTTACTGTCTTTATGTGACAGGCATTGTGATAACAGGAGTTGAAAGACTGAATTGCTTAATTTTTAACTAATCTAATGCTTTGTAGACTATTTTGAAAACAGAAACACTGTTAGTCTCATTATCATGTCTGATTTGTTTCCACTTGCCCATTTAAAGGCAGGGTATGTGATTTTTCAAAAACACTTTAGAAAACTTCTTCGCAATAGGTGAGTAACACCGTGTCTACAACAGCTAAAGTCTGCCTACACTGGACGTGATCAAATGACCGTTGAAAACCATTTGAAATTTGTATCAGCACGTCTTAAATAGAACCAGGCAGCAGTTTTCTGTCGGGGATTTGTTGCGCCGCGCCGCTCACGTCAGTAGACACGGTGTAACATTGGTTTTGCTTTGTTTCACAGAACTAATCGTTGCCTGGGTTGCGTACGTATATGTGGGGCGGAGCTATCAAAATAGGGGCAAGACCCTTTTGGGGTAGGGGCTTGTTTGTTTTGGTGATTTCAAATATCAACATTGGCTACCAGAAATCGCTTACTCTGCCTTTAACTTGGCTTCTTGGTAAGGATATTTGTTTCAGAATGTTAATTTTTCATGTCATCTCAAGTCAAGACAAGTTGTGGTTCAAAGAAACAAATAATTTTATTTGCATGTATTAATTAACCATCTTATACTTTAACAATAATCATGTGCTGAACTGAACTTGAACCCCTGAACACCCTCCGTTTTGGGACTCACAGCTGAAAATGACCTACCTAACTTAAAATGGTAACAGTTCCTGACAACAGTGTGCTACACACACAATTTTGGTGTCTTTGGAAAGAAGACCCTGTGGGCTTTACTATCCATAATCCAGAGTTGATAATGCTCAAAAGATAAAAAGTTATAGACACTGAAGTGCCTTGAAAAAAATTGTACCACACTGATTATTTTTTTATTTCATATAAAAATACATGAAATCAGTCCTGTAGCAATCCAGAAATGTAATGGGTTGAAAGTCACATGTCTCATGAGTTTCTATTTCAAATCTAAAAAATATTTACCAAATGTATTGAACGGTTCTACAAAATATTTTAGTCATTAAACATACCACTGCATAGTTTTTCAATTATAAAACAATAGACATAATCTTAGACATCGTACAAGGGATTTATTTGAGCACTAGAAAAATACAATAAATTAACCGAGTGGCGCATTACGTCATTCTCGTTATTTTTATATGAATCTTATTACACCAGACCGTGTTTACCTTTCTGGTTGTTTGGCTGCATCTAATTCTGAGGAATTCAATGAAGTATTTTCATCTGACTATGAGAAGTTAGATATACAGGAGCTCTTGGGATACAATTCTCAAGTGAGAGCATGTGCTTACCTCTCTTCCTCCGAGGAGTTTGAGGTGGTCAGCAGGGGCTGCTGGGCGGGAGCAGCCCCAACCAACAGTGTTCCAGCTCCTCATTCAGGAAGCGTCACTTCTCATACTCCCCAGAATTTAGAGTCAGAGTGGTGCTCCTGGGCCGAAGGCTTCTAGCGGAAGGCGGATCTCGCTGGATATTCTCGCTGGATAGATAGTCTTTGGCTAAAACGTCCTGACGCCTAGGGCCCAGGACTTCTGAGGGCCAGCCCCCTCTAGGGAAGAGTGGTGTACACCTCATTACACGGTGCCCGTCTCTCCTCAGTGCCCTTGGGAGACCTATCTGCCAACCCTGCCACCTAGGTTGCTTCAGGGCGCAGCAGTCTCCGGCGAGCGCCTCTCTCAGTCACCGCCCGGAAACATAGCGGTACTGAGAGACTCGCTACCTCTTCTGAGGTTTCTAGAGCAGCTAGTTCGGCCATTCCCTGCCGGTTCGCCTTAGGGCACCGCTCTAAGTACACCAGAGGCCAGTCTTGAGAGACTGGTTCTCTTAGTAGGTCACCTGGCGGTGTGGGAACCCCTGCCAAGCATGTCTCATTGGGTCCTGCCCCGAGCAGGCTCTGGTTCTATCAGTCTAGTCTTTTTCAATTGGAGACTTCAGTCAAAGAGAGTCCTAATGCCATGGCTCTGGACTTCGGAAGGCAGGCCCCTCTGGGGAAGAGCGGTGTACACCTCATTATTTGGTGCAGTCTCTCCTTATTGCCCTAAGGAGATCGATCTGCCAACCCTGCCACCTACGGTGCTTCAGGGCGCAGCGTTCTCCGGCGAGCACTTCTCTCAGTCACCGCCTGGAAACGAGGCTTGCTACCTCTTCGGAGGTCTCTAGAGCAGCTAGTTCGGTCGTCCCCTGCTGGTTCGGTGCTTCAGGGCACGACCTAGCCACTCTGATTACACCAGATGTCAGTCTCAAGAGACTGATTCCCTTTAGTAGACCTTTTGCATTCTGCCAAATGTGTCTCAATGGGTCCTGCACACTGAAGATAGAGTCTACTGAATCCAGTTTGGTTCTCCTCCGCCTCGTTTCAATGGGGTCATTCCCACTCTGGTGGGCCCCGAGCAGGCTCTGATAATGGAACAAGAAGTAAACACTCTCTTGAGGAAGGAGACCATCGAGGTGGTCCCTCCTCTCGACAGAGAGTCCGGGTTCTACAGCTGGTACTTCATCGTTCCAAAGAAGGATGGAGGGTTGCGTCCCGTTTTAGGTCATGTCTCAGATCAGTTCCGAGGACTGGTTTGGCAGGATCTATCTAAAATACGCATACTTCCACATCTCCATCCCTCCCCATCTCAGGAAGCTCCTGAGGTTTGCTTTTGGGGTCAAAAGCTTACCAATACCGGGTTCTTCCATTCGGCCTTGCACTCTCACCCCGCACTTTCACGAAGTGTGAGGATGCTGCTCTGGCTCCTCTGTGACTCCAGGACATCCGCATACTCAACCACTCAGAGCAGATGGCGGTTCGGCATCAATATGTCGTTCTCGCTCACATGAAAGAGCTGGGGTTAAGACTTAATGTCAAGAAAAGTGTGCTTTCTCCAGTACAGAAAACCACTTATCTGGGCATGGTGTGGGATTCAACCACAATGCAGGCACGTCTGTCTCCTGCTCGGATTGAGTCGATCCTCACCGCAGTTGCAAGAGTGGGAGAAGACCGGTCACTCACTGTCAAGCAGTTCCTAAAACTGCTGGGTCTGATGGCAGCTGCATCCAACGTGATACCTTTTGGCCTGCTGTACATGAGACCCCTACAGTGGTGACTGGAGACCAAGGGATTCTCCCCAAGGGGAAACCTGCTCTGCATGCTCAAGGTCACGCGGCGCTGCCTTCGTACCTTAGACATGTGAAGGAAACCTTGGTTCTTGTCTCAGGGCCTGGTGCTGGGAGCTCCTTGTCGCCGCTAATGCTAGCGACGGACGTGTCCCTCACCGATTGGGGAGCAGTCATGAGTGGCCACTCGGCCCGCGGTCTGTGGAGCGGTCACCATCTCACGTGGCACATCAACTGCCTGGAGATGCTGGCCGTGTTTCAAGCATTGAAACACTTCCTCCCGGACCTAAGAGATCGCCATGTGTTGGTGCGCACCGACAATACAGCGGTGCTCTCTTACATCAACCACCAAGAAGGTCTGCGTTCGCGCCCCCTTTACAGGCAGGCACACCAGATCCTTGTGTGGTTCCAGGAAAAACTCCTTTCGCTGAGAGCAGTTCAGATCCCTGGGCATCTCTATATGGGAGAGTTTTTGGCCATGTTCAGGTGGACCAGTTTGCAACTCAGGAGACATCGCACTGTCCCCTCTGGTTCTCTTTGACTCATCCAGCTCCACTGGGGTTGGATGCCATGGTACAGATGTGGCAGAGACTTCATCTGTACTCCTTTACCCTGATTGCTCTGCGCCCGAGAGTTCTGGAAAGAGTGCGCCGGAACGGGTTCCGTCTGCTGCTAGTAGCCCCGTTCTGGCTGGGCCGAGTACGCTTCTCAGACCTGATTTCTGATTTTCTTCATGGGAGATTCCCGTCAGGAGGGATCTACTCTCACAGGCGGAGGGTATCTTTCACCCCCGCCCGGAGCTGTGGAAGCTGTGGGTGTGGCCCCTGAGGGGGCACAACTCATAGCTTCCGGTCTCTCAACCGAGGTTGTTGAGACCATTCTCCAATCCAGAGCTCCCTCTACGAGGAAACTGTATGCCCTGAAGTGGAAGCTTTTCACTTCTTGGTGCGGAGACCACCAGCTTGACCCTGTTATCTGCCCAGTTGGTAAAGGGAGTTCCTGCAGGCCTGATTCTCTGTAGGGTTGACCCACTCCACCTTGAAGGTCTGCGTGGCGGCCATTGCGGCCCTTACACGTTTCCTCCGCGGTGCGCTGAGGCTGAGGCCTCCGGCCAGAGAAGCTTATGCTAAGCAGTGGATCAGGATGCAATTCCATCGCCTCAAGCCCTCTGATCTCCCCTCTCATTTGGGGGTCAAGGCTCACTCCTTCTGAAGTTAGCCTTTGGGATGCTGCAGGATGTCCCCACCTACTTTGTCATGTGCCTACCTGCATTCTGCACCACTCCTGGCTCCTTTCTCTCGACTTAGCTGTGCTTGTCCACACTAGGCAGGAATTTGTAAGTCTGGCGGTGTGGGCATTCTCTTTCCCATAGCATTTCGATGCAGCTCGAGTTCCTGAATGGGAACGTCTCCAGGTTACACATGTAACAATGGTTCCCCGAGGGAACGAGATGCTGCGTCTCAGTGCCATACTTCCGGCATCCCTGCGAGAACTTACTTCATTTCGCAGAAGAG